TAGAAATGCTTACAAATATCTGAAGGGTGGGTGTCAGGAGGATGGGGCCAAGCTCTTTTCAGTGGTGCCCAGTGACAGGACAAGGGGCAACGGGCACAAACTGAAGCAGAGGAAGCTCCAGCTGAACCCGAGGAAGAACTTCTTCCCTCTGAGGGTGACGGAGCCCTGGCCCAGGCTGCCCAGGGAGGTTGTGGAGTCTCCTTCTCCGGAGATATTCAAGACCCGCCTGGATGCGGTGCTGTGCAGCCTGCTGTGGGTGACCCTGCTTGGGCAGGGGGTTGGGCTGGGCGACCCACAGAGGTCCCTTCCAACCCCTACCATGCTGGGATTCATTCTGTGATTCTGTGGCCCCAGGCTGCCAAAAAGGGGGTGCAGAGACACTCAACCAGGGAATTTCTCATGGGAAATGAAGCAAGTGCCACTGCCAAGTCCTGGTCAGGATGTTGTGTCAAAATACGGCACGCAACAATGGCAATAACGTCTAGGGGAAAAACAAGGGGGAATGAAAAAGCATCCCGGATGGATTTCTGCAGAACCCAACCTTGCTCTTGCTGGACGAGGTTGCTGCAGCTCAGGAGACGGAAGAGGAGATGGGTGACAACAGGAGAGAGCTGTTCTCTGCACCTCCACGGGTGCTCACGGGCCACGAAGGCAGATGCAACCTTGGGGCTCCCTGCCCCACCAGCCACAGCTCCCACCCACTCTTTGGGAGTGTCCCCACGGCCTCCCCGTGGGGCCCTACCCTTCTGCACCTTCTCTGCCACTCGCCATCCTCACTGTCAGAAAGGACGGGCATCTGGCAGTGCCTCCCGCCCTGCTCCCCGTCAGCACGGTGGCTGCCAGGAAGGACACCTACCTCCACCTCCTCCGTGCTCTCGCTGCATCTCAACCCGCTTCTGCTCCGCATCGAACTGCTGCTGTACGAGGAGGGGGCTGTACACATCCACGAAGCTGCCTGGGGGCTCGCCGTGCTGGGGACCGGGCGCAGCCTGGGTTTTTTGCAGTGAGTCTGGGGGCTGGAGCCCCCCCC